CCCAAAGTGCTAGGATTACAGGAAAGAGCCACTGCGCCCTGTCAAAAAACCGAAAATCTTAAAGGCCTTTCCCCTTCCCCGCCTGGGCTCAAACATCAGCTGGAGCCGCCCTGCCACACCACGTCGCGGTTCCGGGGAGCAGGCCGGCTGACTGAGGGCGATCATGGGCCCCGAAAGGGCTGCGGGCGACGCGGGCTCCCAGTTCGGGGCTCGGGGACGAGGGCGAGAGGTGCCAGCAGCCCTCAAGCCAGCCCCCCGCAAGGAGACAGAGAGACGCGCCCTCCGCCTCCTCCCACCCAAGCCTCCGGCAGTCCCGGGGATCGGGGAGGGCCAGTTGCGGGAGAAAGGGGCCCGCTCGCCCTGCCCGGGGAACCGGGGCCTCTCCCGGGCAGGCTCCCCTTTGTCCGGGTACTTCCGGAGCCTCCTCTCCACCCTCCCCCTGCCCCTTGGGGCCACCGCTAGGCGCTGACACGGATAGGGACACACAGACACGGACATCTTACCCTCATCTCCGGCGGCAGGGCGCGGAAGGTGAGCCGGCGAGGAGCCGCTGTTATGGCCGCGACCACCCGGTGGGACCGCTCGGTGGCGCTCTCGCGGCTCCGCCTCTTCCCGCTGCCTTGAGTCTAGTCGGAGCACGGCAGGAAAACCGCAAGGGACACCGAGTCCTCTGCTGGGAGCTGTGGGGAGGCCGCTGGGCAGCTGCTCCCCTTGTAACGCACTCCACCGACCGGAGGCGCGGCTCCTGTGAAGCGGCAGCTTAAAAGGGCAACAGCACCACCGCCCCAGCTGCCGCCTGGGAAGGGGCTGCCTCCACCCCGTCCCCCTCCCTCTCACCCCTCACCTTTCACCCCTGACTCCTCACCCCTCACTCGGGCGCTCCCCGTGAGCACCCGTTTCCGCCGGTGCAGGAGTCCAGAGCATGCGCGCGCTTCCGGCTGCCCTCTCCTCGCCTTGACCCAACACTACTGGACCCATCTGGTCCGTTCCTCACACTGGCGGACTGGAGGCTCCTGGCGGCACAACCGCCAATGTGTGTGTGTTTTGGCGGGAAGGCACAAAACCACCAACTCGTGTGTGTGTGTGTGTGTGTGTGTGTGTGTCCGTGTGTTTGTGTGTGTCTCCCAAGGGAACAACACTGTTGAGTTCAGGCTGAGTATTAGTGTGTGTCTCCCAAGGGAACAGCACTGCTGAGTTCAGGCTGAGTATTAGCTCCTAGACTGTCAGCAAAATACAGTCACAAGAAGGCTATGTGCTGTTTTGTCTTTTGCAGTGACATCATGTTTGCAGTGACATCATGTTGCTCATGTTTTATGTTTTTCAGAGTTTATTAGTTTCTGTTGGTTCTCAGTTAATATCCAGCTCAATAGATTGTGTAAGTAGAATACCCCCTAACTGAAAGTCACCTACATAAAATATAGTGAAAAATTTGTCACCCCCTTAAACTATAGTTGAAAACATGTACTCGTTAGTTTTGTGTAGCCAACACTGGATACTGGGTAAGGGCACAGGATCCCAGGGCTAGACTGCCTGGGTTCAAGTTCTGATTTAGCCACTTGCTGGCTTTGAAATACTTGACAGCTTTAAGCCACAGTTTCTTTTTTGAAATACTTGACAGCTTTAAGCCACAGTTTCTTTTTTTTTTTTTTTTTTTTTTTTAACTTAATCCCAAATGTGACAGTAAGTCTCAGTTTCTTGATCTGAAAAACAGAAATTATTCAATGAGAGTCTATGTGAAAACTTTAAAGGTTTTAAAGCCCCTATATGGCTCAGGAAAGTCCTCAGTTTTAGCTGTTAAAGTTTTAAAAGCCACTTTAAAGTTTTTAAAGCCACTGCCTGGCTCAGGAAAGCCCTCAGCTTTAGCCATTGATAGCTATGATTATTATTGTGCTGGGTACACATGCATTAATGAGGCAGGAAAATGCTCAAGGATAACAACCGCTACCCAGATTATCTCATCAGACTGAGACAGATGCGTATGTGTGCATGCTCATGTTTTAGCTCAGAGCCATTTGTCTATAAGGCTGTTGAACTCAGAGGCCCAGGCAGTATCAACTTTACTTTGTAGTGGAGCCATCACTTTTGTTAATCAATGAAATTGACATAACGCTCTTTTTTTCTTTTTAGCACTAGCCATGAGCCTAGAGCTAACTGTGTCCAGAAGAGCATGCTTCAAGTGGCTGGAGTGAGCAATTCAACTTGTGGAGGAATAAGAAATGATAGTGTTGAGACAAGAAACACAAAACCCCAGGGTAAGGTAGGAATCACTGAAAGTCAGGCAAAGAAACTGGCATCCAGTGATGAGTCAGGCTTTGCCAGCCTCTGGCCCTACAGATGGCTCTTTGGAGTGGAAAAAATTAAGCCAGGCCCAAGGGCACAGATGGTAAGGGAATGCCGGCAGCTCTAGGCTGTCTATGAGAGTCCAGATTTGTTGCTTCACCTTGGGGCATGTGTCCCCCACCCTCAGGCCTGCCCCACCCATGTGTGTGACCTGCCACGTGATTTGATGCTGTCTTTCAGAATCACTATCGGTGTTGCCTGAGGAGCGTCAGCCTTGGTAGGTACATGCCTTGCTGCCTGCTGCATGAAAGGTCTGCCCGCCCTGCTGCCCCAGCTTCACACGGGGGGCACACCTGGGGACTCAGAACCAGGCTCCCTGCCCCTCCCTTCTGGAGCTGCAGACTTGCTCTTTCCTCTTTCTGTCCTTGTGCTGCTGGCTGTCTCACTTCCCTCCCTGCGAGCCATGGGACTCAGTGTCACTGCTCCAGGTCTCCATGGCTGAGCCTGGGGGCTCTTAGAAAAGGCTCCATGCCCAAGCTGGCAGACATGGAGCCATCAGAGAGGACACAGAGCTCATGGTTTATGGTGTAGGGGCTGGGAGCTCGGAGGAGGTTGTGTGTAGGGCTGGACTCTGAGGCAGTCAGAGGCCTAGGCACATCATCCTGGGCACGCTGTACCTGTCATGCAGTCTGAGTCATGCTGCCAGGGCAGGTATCCAGCTCCCAGCCTGGGAGTGCCGAGAGCCAAATCCACTGCAGATTCAGGGTGATAGTTAGGGTCCCACGTCCTCTATCTGTCAGCAATCCAGTGGTGATCGAGGATAAAAGCCTGAGAGTCCCATACACACGGTCATCCCACAACACACTTCACAGACCAGGCAGGGACACACAGCTCCCTTCCCTCCCTCCCAGGTACCATCATAGCTGCTGGCGTGGACTGAAGGCAGGGTCCCTGGCCCCCGCTGAAGCACTACCACCGACCAGCAGGCTCACTCACCTTGGCCTGTTGCTCCTAGGGGTCGCCTGTGCTATTCAGCCAAGGAGACCACAGTGCCTGCTGGCCCAGCCGAGCTCCGCCTAGCGAGCCCAGCTGCCTGTCCTGCCACGGACTCTTCCTCTTCTGCTGTTCTGAGCAGGATGGGCCCAGCCTCACCTATGCAACCTGCAGCCCCCTGCCTACCAGTTGAGGCTCCCCTCTTAGACTTATAAGTCTATGTCCAGCGGCATCCAGCTACCTGTCCTCCTTGCCTTCCCCAGGGTCCCTCAGAGGACACTGGGCTTTCTGACTACCCAGAGGGGCCTCTGGCCCTCACTTCAGCCAGCCATCCCCTTATAGTTTCACCATTTTGTTTCAAGCAGTGTTCCTTCTCTATCAGGCCTGGTGGCTGTTGGGTGGGGCTCCCCAAGCAAGAGGTGGCCCTGGGCCAGTGGGTTGAAAAACAGGGTGACCAGAGAAGAAGGAAGTCCTAGGGGGCTGGCATTGGTCTGAACTGTGGGTGGACTGCCTGGGTGCCATGAGGGAGGCCAGCGTGTGTGGGGTGGGGAGGGCCGCCATCATCAAAAAGGAGTACAACTGCCCCAGCTCATGATGTAATATCTTCATGAGCCCAGAGCACATACAAATCCTAAGGGGAGTACCATAGTAACGCACTCATTCTTGGCTCCAAAACAAATGAAACGTATTCTATCCTGCACACATCTGCCAGAGCAGGCCACTTTCCTCTTTTGTGAGATTTAAAAAGCTCCCCAAAATGTTATTACGCCCATCCCCAACACACAGAAAAAGGGAGAAAGGCTCTCTCCAGTGCTCCGGCTTTAAACAACTGTAAATGTCACTACTCACAGTGGCACATTACAAACTAATAAACAGCGCACTTGAGGGCAGACCACATATTGAGCTAATGAAAAGCTCACTGTGATTAGGAGTCGATCAAGCATAATAGCAGAACATAGCCAAATTTTATTCGAATTCCTTAATGAACATACATGCTGCAATAACATTAAAAAAGCATGGCAGCCTATTCCAAACCAGCAAGAACAGTTTTGTGCATATAGTGGGTCTTTGTGTGTTTGAACTCCCACCACATAGGGCAAACTCGATATGCGTGCTAATGACCTACAGTTATCAAATAAAAAGAAAAATGCTAAAGGATGCCATAGTGAACATGAGGGAAAGACCCACTCTTCTGTAACTTTTTACAAATAAATTTAAACAAAGTTAGAAACACAAATAAACATGAGTGACTAACATTCAAATGAAGTAAATGAATTGTGTAGGAGATTAACCCCTAAACTTTTTTTGTTTGTTTGTTTTTAAATTTCTTGACCAGCTCTTAGATGATGGTGATGTTTATCTCCCTGATCTCGGCACGGTGAAAAGAATAGCATGCAGGGGTTGCTGTACAAGCCTCGGTGCTCCTGGAGAGTCCTGCGTCAGAGGAAGCAGCTGCACGATCTGCTGTGCAGTGGGGTTGTCGTGGGGAGAACCCTCCCTGGCCTCTCCTGGTGCAGGCTCCACGCTGTCAGTGAGGCTCAGCCACGAAGATCTTCAGACAGACGGAGGAGGGGATCTGAGCTCAGTGTGAGCCTCCCCTGCTCCTGCCTACCCACCCCACCTGAGCGCTCTACTCACCACCCTGCTTGTCAGCACACCCAAGCTCCTGGGGGATTGGGGCTCCTAGAGCGGGCTGATCACCAGGACTCTGGGCAGTGGTCAGGAATTTGTCGTGCCCCTCGTTGTGGTCGCCCACAAGCCGCAACACCTGTCCCTGCAGCTCCAGCAGGTTCACCTGGAGGGAGGGGTGCTTAGCTGTCATGCCGGTGCTGGTGCCCAAGTTCACCCCCACCCCTACTCCCACCCCCACAGAGATGTTGCACACCCTAGTTGCATCTCCTTGTCCTGGGCCAGCCTGATGATGTCCTCCTCTCCCAGTGCCGCATTTTGGCACTGCCCCCTGGCTGATGTAGTTTCCTGTGGGAGGACACAGCTCAGAGGCTGGGGCCCCTCTGACGGCCCAGCAGCTCCCCCTGCCGTATCCTGGCCTCCCGCTCACTTATGGTGTCTGTTCCAAGAGGTGGATGAATTGAAGCTCTAGTTTCTCCACCGGCTCCTTCAGGTCCACCTTGTCCTCCATAAAGTTGCTCTAGAGTCAAAATAATGGGGTCACATCTCAAGAACAAGCTGCCTTGCCCCACTCACACCGTTCTTGGCCCATGCCAGGACCTACTCAGCTGCACCTTCTCCATGGCCCCCTGCAGGGCTCGGTGGGTCTCCCCACACACAGACTCACGCCCAGTCCCTGGGGTCCTCTGGGATGAAGCCACTGGGTGAGCCAGGGGCTGGCAGCACACCCTTTGCTCTTCCTGGGCATTGGCTCCAGCGAAGTTGAAAAATGCCACTTGAAGGCAAGAGGTGACTGTTCTTGTAGGGACATACACAGAACAACCGGGGCAGGGAGGTGGAGCGCAGCCCCTTCCCTTGGGGCTCAGGGTGTGCACCTGTTGGTCACAGGTGAAATGGTGTTTGACCACTGGCTCCTGGAAGGAGTGAAAGTCCACAGAAATCAGAATTCAGGGAAACCAAGAACATAAGGGGATCTGGGAGGGACCGCCGAGGAAGGTGACAAAGTAGAGGCAGGGAAAGTCAGGCTCACCTGCCCTCCCGGCTCTCCCAGTCCCCTGGGATGTTCTGCATGGGCCGAGGTGCCTCCTCCTCCTCACTGTCCAGATGTTCTCCTCCATCTCTTCTAGGGGGTGGCCAGAGGGGTCTCATCAGACAACCCAACAAGGGAAGTACTGGGGGCCCACCTCTGCCCCCACCCTCCCTGTGTAACCCTGAATCAGCCCATTCCCAGAGAGGAATGAGCTGTTCTTTATTTTTACTTTTAAGAACCAAGATCTTGCTATACTGCCCAGGCACAGTCCCACTACCGATTGGTGTGGGAGTCCTGACCTGCTCCCTTTCTGACCTGGGCCAGTTCTCCTGTCCTTAGGCAACCTGATGGCCTCCTGCTCCCAGGAGGTCACCATATTGATACCGAACATAGCACTGACACGTGGTCGGCATAATGACCAGCTGTCTTAAAGGTCTCTTCCAACTCCTCAATCCTATGCTGCTAACAGT